AAGTGATCAAGACAGTGGGCAAAGTAGCATACCAACTTCGGCTACCAGTATCATTGTCAGGAGTTCATGACGTGTTCCACGTTTCGATGTTGAGGAAATGTCAACCAGATACGTCGCATGTCGTGGATTTGGAGGATATTGAAGTGCAAGATGGAGTCACCTATGAAGAGCAGCCGGTGAAGATTCTTGATATCCAGGAGAAAGTGCTTCGCAACAAGGTAATCCAGCTGGTGAAAGTCCTGTGGCAACATCATGGCGTAGAGGAAGCAACTTGGGAACCGGAGTGGGAGATGCGAGAGAAATATCCATATTTGTTCGCTACTTGAGGTAAGTTTCGAGGACGAAACTTTCTTTAAGGGGGGTGGATTGTAAGACCCTGTACTAAAATTAAATAAGAATACTAATATCTTAAGAGTTTTCCAAATATGAATAAAATGAGGATAAAAACTTAGAATCATTGTTGAAATATTAATCATGAAGTTTGAGTTTCGAACGGATTGACTTTTGGGTCAAACTTAATTTTTTTTTTTGGATGTGTTTAAGATTGATAAGGGTAACTAAATAAATATATTAATTTTTTTTATCAAAATAACATTACCATTGAATTCGGGAGGTCGGAAAACATTGGGAGAGGTAATATGGGATGTATTAGAAGTTAGGAAGTATTTTAGAAGTAAAACCAAATTGGAGTGAAATTGGGTTAAAAGGGGTGATAGACACTGCTTAGTATTTTGATCATAACTTTATATTTTGATGTCCAATTGATCTGAACTTTTGACAGGAAATAGTAGACATCTAGGGCTACAAAAGTGTATTTCATGAAAAATTTCCAATTCGACCTCTAAATGGGTCAAAACTGACCTGGAAGTCGCACCAAAAATCTGTGAACAGTACGAAGGAAACCCGATTTTTTCTGAACAGAAAATATCGGGTTTTGCTCGATTTTCTTGCCCTATAAAAACCTAATGTCGTCCCTTTAGCATTCATTTCACCCCCTCCAAACCCTAGGAACCATTTTAGAGGAAGAGAGGAAGATAGAAATACCAATCAAGAGGGATTTATACCTTGTAGAAATCAAAACTTCAAATTCTTCAAGAATACATTCTCCTCCCATTTTCTTCCATTCTTGCTACCCTCTCACCCAAATCTTTTGAAACCCTAGGAGGAGAAGATTAAGAGGAAAAGAAAGGAGAGCAAGAAGGTCTTGAAGCTTGGGTCTTAGCTTGGAATCTTGATTTAAGGTAGGGGATTTTCTCTCAATCTCTCACATTGAGGCTAGATATATATATCTATAGATATATATATGTATATAGATATATGTTTATTTACTCTCCTTCTCATATATATAATATGAAATACATGATTCTTGTTCTATTTGTAATAAATGCCATGTTTTGAACAATATGAAGGGTGGGTAACCACCAAAGCTGTATTGATTTTTTTTTTTATCTTCAAAGCCCTAGTTTTCAAGAAAATGGGATTTTCTCCTAATTTCTTCTTTGTCTTTGATTTTAAAACTTTAGTATTGAATATTGTATAACAAAATGATATAGATTACGATCTCTTGCATATTTTCTTAGATTATTCGATTATATGACAAATGTGAAAACAAAATTGGAGATTTTACTATATTTGGGAAATTGTTGTGAATTGTGAATATTCTTGATTTCCTCATTGTATGGTTGTTGTGATGGACTTGGATTACCTTCGAGAGATGCCGTAGAGTGTTAGAGGTTAGTCTATCCCAATGGGGGGTGAGATGGTTGCCTAATGCTCGTAGTGGATCGTTGTTGTGCTCGCGATCACTATTGTTCACATATACACCGAGGAAAAGGGTTAGTATACTAGACACCTTGGGAGGATTTCGTCAATGCCATAGGAGACGGTACACGCCCTTCCTAAAGAGATTTGTGATTGTTGGTTGGAATTGGTGGACTAGGCATGATCGTTAGGTAGATTCACGAGAAGCAATCAACATACATGGTACGGGGATGAACCAAAAATACATGGAATCGGGAGTTGGGTCGTTCTTGCCGATGCATTGGTATGGGACAATGCTTAGGGAGAAGCCCTTCTTAAATAGCTTAAATTAGAATTTTGTTTATCGATGCTAAACTCACTTTATTCTTTTAACTGATTATTGCTATTGTTTAAACTTGAGATCTCTTTTAAAATGTCACTGTTTTCATTCCAAACCTATATATATGTTAGTTGTGAAATGAGACCGATCGTTTGCTATGTTTTTCAAACCTTGTTTGAGTTGAGAGGATTTTGCTATAGAGCTTCGTGCTCACCCCCTACAAATAAAATTTTTTCAGATTTCACACTTGAGGAGGAGTTAGGAGCCGAGGAGCCCACCCATTGGAAGACTCCGCTTGACGGGGATGTGGATCCCGAGGTGGACGCTTAGAGTGAAACCTTTATTTTGTTCTAGACTAGATTATGTTTAGAATATCCTTGTGAACTCTAGTTCATTTCTGTTATTTCCGCTGCGTTATATTATTACATTTTGGAGATGTAAAGGCCAAGATTAGACCTATTAATTTGGGATGATAGTGTGGATATGACATATGATGAATGCAAGTTTATTTTATGATGGAAAAATGGACCCGGTGTGGTCAATAGTTATGCATATGTGGACCCGGTGTGGTTAATTGTAATATAATTGTACAGGTTGTGTTTTGGATAGAGCTCCCCGTACAAAGGAGACTCTGCCCAAATTTTGTTAAAATATGAATGGTTGATGAATGAAACTTTCGTCGTGATGAATTTTACTTAATGCTCTCATACGGTAAATGGTTTTTAGAATGTAATGTCACCCACGGGGGTTTTTGGGGCGTTACAATATCCAATACTTGTGGTAGATGTTTTAATTGATTCTGCTGCTAGACATGTTAGTCTAACCTTTATAGATGGACATGATGTCTATAATTAGATTTTTGTAGCAAAAGAAGATGTCCATATGGCTGCCTTTAGATACCCAGGTACACTAGATACTTATGAATGGGTGGTAATGTCATTTGGCCTTAATAATGTAAGGGTCATTTATCAAAGGGTAGTGAACTTGATTTTCCATGACATGATTGGAAAATCGATGGAGGTTTACATCGATGATGTGGTTTTCAAGTCTGATGATTAAGATTCATATTTAAAAAACCTTAGGAAGGATTTCTGGAGAATGAGAATGCACAAGTTTAAAATGAATCTTTTAAAATGTGCATTTGAGTTTTTATTGGTAATGTCTTGGAATTTTTTGTCCACCAAATAGGTATTAAGGTGGATGAAAACAAACCTAAGGCCATTATAGAGGCCTAAGCCCCATTAAATAAAAACAATTACAAAAATTCTTAGGCCAAGTGAATTTCCTAAGAAGGTTTATATCTAACATTGTAGGTAAAATAGTGGTTTTTTCACCTTCGTTGAAACTAAAGCCAAAGGTGGATTTCAAATGGGAGGATGTACACCAAAAGGATTTTGAAGAAATCAAGGAATACTTAACAAAGCCTCCAGTGTTGATGTCACCAAAAGAAGGCATGCCATTGAAGCAATATATTTCAGCAGGAAAGAAGTCTATTATTAGCCAATTTGCAGAAGATAATAACCAAGGTCATGAACAAGCAATCTATTATTTGAGTAGAAAATTGAACAATGTCGAATGTAATTACTCTTCAAAAGAAGAGTTTTGTTTGATTTTGTACATTTCAACAATAAAATTAAGGCATTATTTAATTTCATTTACTGTTTGTATTATTGTTCAAACTAATATAGTTAAATATATGCTTACAAGACCCCTATTAAGAGGAAGAATGGGGAAATAGATCCTTGTCTTAACAAAATATTGTTTCCAATATGTGTTACAAAAGGCAGTAAAATTTGAAAAGACCAATCTTTGGTTGATTTCCTAACAGACCATCCAACTGTTGAGATGAAGGAAGACACATATGGAAAAATATTACAAGGTAGGGCTTTTTAATTGCAATCTTTAGAAGGAGAATAGCAGATATATATTTTTAAAAAAAGTGATTAGTGTATAAAAGCCATCAATGGCTTTAATGATACTATGACCTAGGAGTAAATAATAACAAAACTCATGGGCCAATAAGTAAAAGAAAGGTTCTTTTGTATTTATTAAAAGACCAAATGACCAAAATTACATATGTACAAAATAAAAAAGTCCATGGGACTTTTTTGGCCTCTTAAGATACTAGGGCAGGAGAAAATACAGTTTAAAGGTGTCCCATTCATTGAACAAAAACCTTAGTTGTTGTTGGGCATGCTTCAAATTTTCTCCTACAACTAACAACTTCTCACTTCCATCTTGGTGATTGGCTAGCAACTCTTTAGTCTTCAAAATCAAAGTCTATTTTTTCTTATCTAATTCTACTTCTATTCTTGTTGATCTTCAACATTCTCTCCTTGAGCCTTAGGGTGCGTTTGGTAACGTTTTCGTTTTTATGTTTTTTTTTTATGAAAAAAACAGAACAAAGGTTTTTTTTTTTGTGATAAAAATTAAAAATATAAAACATGTTTGGTAGTCAATTATATTTAAAAAATTATAAAAATAAAAATAAAAAACATGTTTGGTATTATACTAAAAATTTAACTCCCAACACCACCACCAAACACCCACCACCACCACCGAAACCCACCCACCAACCCCCTGAAATTCTCCGAAATCCATCCCTACCCCTACCACCAAAACCCAGCAACCCCTATGCCCAGCAAACCCCATCCCCGAAACCCAGCAACCCCCATCCCTGAAGGTGCAGATTGTCTTTTAACAACCTATAAATTTCCATGACAATCAAACACAAATAGTCAGTCGCCAGATGATGTATGGTGACTCACTACATATATTTTGGCAATAGAAGCATAAGTTTGCTTCTGGGGCTCCTCAACAGGTTCCTTAACAGGTGAGAGATGGTCTTTCACATGGTTCATTATACTCTCAAGAGAACCATTTGCTTGTACTGCAAAATTGTCTTTAAGAATGCTTTCAGCTTCAAGGACTTGCTACAGATGTTCATCTGGGAAACTGGAGCTCTCAACTGGACCAGCAACCCCCATGCCTAGCAAACCCCATCCCCGAAAACCAGCAACCCCATCCCCAGCAAACCACATCCCAGGTTCAATTCGTCTTTGATTCGTCTTCGGTTCTTCTTTGGCTTCGGGTTTTAGTAGAGAGAAACCATGGATTCGTCTTTGATTCTTCTTTGGCTTCGGGTTTCAACAAAGAGAAACCATGGCCATGACTTCGGTTCAGAAGAAAGAAACCAGGCTTTGGTTTCAAGAGAGAGACAACGGCGAGAGAGACAAATGAGGGAAAAAGGGAAGGAAAAAAAAAGAAAGGAAAGGGGCTTTTATAGTTCCAACCAAAAGTCCTAAGTTTTGTTGTTAACAAGATTCGAAGCCATAACCTCATTATACAACCCCACTGAGGAGCGCGTCCATTTTTTTTAGATGTTTATATATTTTAACCTTGTTTTCAAAACGGAACAGTTAAAAAAAATGAAAACAATCACCAAACAAGTTATTGTTTTTTTTTTTTGGGAAAAAAGTGAACAAAAACAAAAAAAAAACGAAAACTCCCGGTTAACAAACGCAACCTTAATTCTTCCTTCAAAAAGATAACGTCTTTCTGTCTCAACTATTCCTCACATTCTTTATTCGAGGTAAGTTGAGGAGCAAATTTCTTCAAAGAACTATTGAAGCTCATTTTGGTATGGACTTCATCTTGAAAGTACTGAGGCTATGTGATTTTGGTTTGAAGATGAGTACTCATGTATGCCACTTGTTGTTGTTATTGCTCTATGAAATAAGTAAAGGAGACAATAAAGATCTTCGCTATACAGGAGACCACGGTAGAAAGGTCATCTTGGATAAGTTGGTCAAAGGGAAGTTCAAGAAATTTGAAGAAGTGTGATAACTCTTATTTTAAAGGTCCTTTAATGGGAGAGAAAGATGTTGGGAAAAGACACAGAGTCAATTGCTCGTACAAATTAATCTATCTTCTGATAAATTGCCTCAATATCATAATCTAAATTTTAAATGTGATAGGTAGATTCGAGCATTGACTGCAAATACAAGAAGAAAATTGAATAAGAAGAGCAAAAAAATAATATAGACAAGTGAAGTATAACAAGATTACCTGATTCATAAAAGAAGTAGATGGAAAATACTTCTTCAACTAATCTTTATGTCCATTAGGATTGGTCAAAGGGCTATTAGTAGCAACTGGAATAGTGGAATCGTCACAAGTAGCCTCCTCAAGAATAAAGATTGCTCCAGTGGGAAGATTTTGCCGAGGAGATACAGAGTGACCTTTAAGAAGCAAATGAGGCATGTAATGACTCAAAGGAGCCATTAGGGTGTCTTATTGATTCTCTAGAACAATATCATTCTCTTGCCCTGAAGGAGTTGAAGAGGAATGCTCAGAGTTACTATGCTCTGATGGCATAATCCTCTCTGAAAAAAGAGATTAAACATTAGAAAATATATTAAGAAGAAGAAAGGGTAATAAATAAAAAAGTATGGTTTTTTACCTTAGCAACCATTTTAAACCGTTTGTCAGGTTGTTTGGTTGTGAGGATGAGTTTACTAATCAACACATCTCCATTGTTGGTTGGAGAAAGGATCGCTCTTTTACCTTCCTTTACAAGGGAATCAGATGTTAGCGGCAGTGGATATTTCTCTACAAAGTTCACTTCTTCTAGTTTATGTGAAGAAAGAGGAGCACTTGTCTCCTTATGAAGGAAAAGAGTTTCTTCAGTTTTCTGCTCATCAATGACAAGTACTATTGGCACATCAATAGTTTCCTAGGAGGACTTCGCCCTTTTTAAAGAATGATTAGTAGAATAATGGGCATTAATGGTAGACTGCATCAGTCTTATAGCAAAACTTTGTTGTCTTTTCTTCTTTGGCTCTCAATCAAAATAGTTATACCCTTGCTTGGATTGATAGGAAGAGAGGGGATAATAATAGGGTACTTGAATTTATTTTTTCCCTCTTATCCGTAGGCTCATCAATGAAAGGATGCATGTAGGGAAAATGAATGTTTTAGGTCAGGCCGAATTGTCTACCAAGCTAATTGGGGTTGTAACTTTCACAACTATAACTAAAAAATTTAAAGGCAAATGCAAAGCCGCCTACATGGAGATAACGATGTAGTAGAATACTATCCCAAAAGATACGTTGTAAATCTATGGCTTCTTTAGAGGCAGTGTCTAGATCAACAAAAAATAACTCTATGGAAGAAGAAGAATAGAGGAGTCTAGAAAAAGAAATATACAAAGAACTGTGTCTATTTTGGTGAAGATTGAAGAAAGATTTGAAATAAAGATCAAAAGTTTTCTCTAAAATAGGGCTGAAGAAGTTAAGGATCGATGTGCATAGTTTCAGGGTTGATACTTGAGATTAGGTAAAGACTCAATAGAACAAATTTTAGGAAAATATGCATAGAGCCAAGCCTAAAAAAGCCAAAATGGCCTCTACAACTAGCAATGATTTTGTTTTCTGTCAAATTGAAAAGGCCTCTATATAAAGCCCAAAGAACAAAAAGGGTCATGGTAAGCTTTTTTTTGTTAGCCAGATGAATTGCCACTCCAAGGTATTCTTTGGTTACCTTAAAACCAAGAACACAAAAGATGAATCAGTAGAGCCAATGAAGAAGAAAGGCTACGTTTTCTTCGAATGAGAGTTTAGGAGATTTGGAAGCAAAAAAAAAAATGGTTTTTAGATCATTATATCCTATACTAGAAGGGAGATTAATAAAGGAATGATTGGTATCAGTGGAGATACAATCATTTACCTCCACACCGGTCGATGGAAACCCCGTCAAATAAACAATGTCTAGAATTGTTAGAGACATCATGTCAATAGGAATAAGCATGACATTGCATGATTGAGACCAAAAACATATGGTGACACCTATTAGCCACCGATTCATATGCATTTCACAAGTGGAGAGCTTAATCATCTCGAAGACACCTAAGTGCCACCATTGAGAAGACAAGTGAGGTTCTAACCTTTTAACCCAATCAACTCATCGCTGATTAGGATTTATCCATGGGCGAAAAGGGTTAGTTCCTTAGTTCCAAGATTTTCATAAGAGCTGTGATTGGTTCGGCATTAGGTTTTCTCCATCATGAACAGGATAGAACTCAAAGAAACCCTCGTAAACATACGATTTGAAGGGGGACCAAGAGTAAGATTTCTACTGGAATTAGGGGTGGGAATTGAAATCCTATGGTCTACCAAGTCATGAGCCATTTGTTTGATTTCAGCAATAAATCTAGGGGAGAAATGAATGCCATATGAAGATGAAGATGGAAGGGTTTGCTTCTTTAGAGTCATTCTGAGTATAGAAGACAAGAATCGCCAGAGGCAAAAGAAGATAGGAAGCAGGAAGCAACAAAAAAAAGTTATGAATAGTACAATTGCCAATTGCTTAAATAGGTGTTTATAGAAGCAATGGTCGTGACTTCTTATTTATTTGGGGTTATTGATTAAACCTGATTAAATTCAGGAGGAATTGTTTGGACATAAAATATAAAATGTCAGGAATATTCAATACACTAAGACCTGGCATCTCAGATGCACTAAGGAAGTGCCACGTGGTATAAACTGAAAAAAGGCGAGAGACGATTAGTCACAACCATATTTGAAAAGGAAGGAGTAACCAACTGGGAGTTACCAGTTAGTAACCATCGACAAGAGCAAAACCGTCGAATACAATGGCTATAAAAAGGGCATTTAGTGGAGAAGAAAATACATTCAAACCCCCAAAAGGCCCACGATCTAGGCATTATACATAGTAGTTTTAGGCTAGTTTAGGTGCAATTAGTGTTGTAGTTAAGGTTATTTTCATTCGGTCTTTTGTAATTGAAATCCTTTTGATTGAATTAATGAAATAATTGCCTTGTATTAGTTATTTATTCTCTGTTTTAAAATTTTCTTTTGCACAGTGAGAATCTCCATTATTTTCATCTAATGAAATCCTGAAATAAGGCATTTGAATCCATTCTAAACAATCACCCTGAATATTGTCCATCGATTGGAACATTCCTATCGATCCGAGTAGATTTTGGAGCAATAGTATGTTACTATTTTTTTTAGTTATGATCACATGGCAGAACTGTCTCTAGCCTCTAAAACATTAGTTCCAACCATTTGCGATCATCATCACCATATGCAAGGTGTTAGGGTCTCTTAACAAGCAGAAATGGAGCCAAGATACTAATACATGGAGTCAAAACATGAATAAAAAAATTCATCTAATGTTAATAATAAGAAATAGATGAAAATTCAAAATTAAACTACTAAATAAAATATATAAAATTGGTATCATTTATCCACTTCAAAATTTGAATAGAATAGAAATAAAATAATTATTATTTTTTACATATAGATTAAGTTGTGCATTATAGTGGAACACAACATTATTTCAAATTCCGTAATTTTTTATACTTGATGAATTTATGCTAAATTTCTCAATAATATCCTTTTAATCAAAGAGGTCATAACTTTGAAAGATTGAAAAATACTTTTAGGTTGGGACTTCTATATTTGCATTTAATTGTGTTTTACTAGGTTGCAGACCGCTAACTTGCCAACAAAAAGTTGAGTTCAATTATGCAATTATGTTTAAAAAATATATGTAGTATAACAAATAGAAGAAGAATATTACCTTTGGTAAATATATGGGTTGGGCATTTTAAATTTGTTGTATTTAGTCTAGGTGCATTTCACTAATTTGTTTAAAAAAATAAGGGGGCAGTGTGTTATATTTGAAAATAGTTGTATTGATTCAAATAATGTATGTGCAATTTATAGAAAAGTTGGTGGGGCTAGTCCCCATCAACCACTCCCCCCCCCCCAACCCCCCAAAAAAAAAAAACCACACCAAGACCCCTAATTGTGGCTCCACCCTCTTTGTATATATATTTCAGCCCAGTTAGTGTTGGAACGGAAATTTCAAGAATTGTTGAAGGCAATATAATTGAATAAAAAAACAAAAAAAAAATATTCATTTGTTAACCCTACAAGGTAGAATTATGGTTTACCTCTTGAAGCATGAACATCACAAACAAATTTTGATGCAGATCGAACAATTAGCTTGATTGATGTCATGATTTTCTTTTCTCCCTCTCTCTTCTAAATGTGAAGGTAAATGTTATAGCGAACAGAAAGGCAAAGGTGTCTATTTATAGGCTCCAATAGAGATCTTAAGGAGAAATAAGGGTTGGGCTTCTAA